ATTATGCTCCTAAAATTTTATATAATTTTTCTGAGCATCTTAAAGTCCTCAAATAAAACAACTTAAAACTAGAAAGTTGTAGATTCCATTGAGAGCTACAACTTTGATGTTGCGATTATTACGCTCCTGAAATTTTATATTATTTTTCTAAGCATCTTAGAAAAACTCAAAACAAGAAAGTTGTAGATCTACAATTTTCATTTAAAGTTCATCTTCATCCGATGTCGTATCGAAAAGTTATGATTGTTCTAAGGTTCAGTCTTGTCACGCTATCCCGGTGGCGCGACAAAACAATACTGTCACACCAACGGGAGTGCCGTGACAAGGTTTTTCACGTCGGAAATATTGTCTTGGCAGTTGTTCCTGCACCAATGCATGTGGCGTGACAACGTTATTTTGTCGCATTTGCGGCATTGGTGTGACCAAAAGGGTCATATCTAAAGAAAATTAGAAACAGTTATTATTAAAATATTAAATAAAAAGGATTAAAAATAAGAAAACTCGTGTACGTAGGGTTTTTCGCTTATGGACTTCGGTCTTTCAACCGTCGCCCAAAATCAACCTAACAAAAAAAGTTCATAGAATGCAATGGGCAACAAATTGGTTCTTCTAATATGTGGAATATAACGTATATATCATCGTATCAGTTATTTTTATAATGTTGATTTGCATAAAATGATGATCAACAACAACATGGTCTGCGGCGCCTCTTCGTCGTCGATTCTGTACCTCAGCGTGGGAAGATATCACTACTGGAGGCCGCGGCTTTGCCGAGTGTTTTTACACTCGACAAAGAGCCCTTTGCACTCGGCAAAGACTTTGTCGAGTGTAGCACTCGGTAAAGTCCACTCGGCAAAATTTTTCTCGACAAAGGGTCTTTGCCGAGTGCTTTTTATCGGGGCACTCGGCAAAATAAAAAAAAATTGCCGAGTGTTTGGGGCGGCACTCGACAAAATATTTCGGCCGTTGTGGCGCCGACCGTTAACGGTTATTTTGCCGAGTGCCCGACCCAGCACTCGGCAAAAAAAAATTTATTTTTTTTTAAAATTACTTTGCCGAGTGCCCCAGCCCAGGCACTCGGCAAAGTTTTTTTTATTTTTTTAAAAAAGTACTTTGCCGAGTGCCCCTGCCCAGGCACTCGGCAAATTTTTTTTTTTATTTTTTTTAAAAAAATACTTTGCCGAGTGCCCCTGCCCAAGCACTCGGCAAAGTTTTTTTATATTTTTTTAAATAATTTTTTTGCCGAGTGCCCCTGCCCAGGCACTCGGCAAAGAATTTCTGAATTTTTTAAAAAAAATACTTTGCCGAGTACAATCATATCTTGAGTAATACATCAGCAGCAACTACAGCTCCAGAGATAACAAAGGTTCGTGCCAAGGATTCTGACTTCCAAGATAACATTCCTGATTTTGTAAAGTGACAGTACATAAGAGATACAGGAAATACACAGTGCAAAAAACAATAATAGAAACGAAATTTTGTATAAATAAGGCACAATTGTTCATTTGATTTTCCTTCTTTAGTTCTGTAGAGCACGACCATATCAAATCTAAATATGGATGAATCCATTTATATTAGTAACAATATCTAGAACTACACCTGAAACCTAAGCCCAGTAACCAGGCCAATGTGAAGTATTATATGTCATCAACACCTGAAACCTAAGCCTAGTAATCAGTTCATGTCCTATGCACAGATCTGTGAGACCTGTAGCCTTCATGTTGTGTTCTGCAGCAAGATGAAGTTTAGTAGCCTAGTAAATTTATCTAGCAGTAAACTAAACACTTATGGATCTCTAATGCATACTTAGCAGCCAGCCATAAACACACCTTTCTGAGGAGATTATCTCTTAGCCGAACACGTTCAACATCTTTTTCTTGTTCAGCATTGAAGGCCTTCAGATTATTCAGAGTTTGTTCCTTTAGCTTTATAGCCTAACATTGAGCAGAAGATAAACAGTCCTTTCAGTAACTGAGTTGAATTTGGGTGATGCCTACTGAGAGCAAAGCAATGAGTAATTTCTACATAACCTAATCCCTAAAAGCAAAACTTATAAAGGAAACTAATTTTATGTGACATCCTGTTACTGTATACTCCCTGTATGGCCAATTGACAAGTGAATAGATCAAGTCTGTCAAACTACTTATAGATTATAATACTGAGGGGTGAAGCCACCTTCATCTTACCTAGCACAAATATATGCAACCTGTTCCCTCGAGCAGAATTTTGAAACCTGCAAATAAAAAGTGATTGGCATAGAAAATACATTGTAAAAATGCCAAATGACTGAAAGATAAGGCATACTTACACATTCACTATATAGTAAAAATGCCAAATGTCATCTGTTAGCGTACTGCATGCTGAACTACAAATGATGAAAAAACGAGAGGATGAAAAGTAACCATACTGAAGTACTGATACAAGTTAAAGTAAGCTAAGAGTGACTACTTCAACCTATTAGAGACTTAGCTTTGTTCCAAAGTAGGAGCAAATTCAAGCAGGAAATGGGAATCCAAAACATTGTATGATAATCACCTTCTCTATTTTGTCACCCAACATGTTAAGCTCCAGAAGTTTGCACAGTAGGAACATTAGCTACACTAATTGCTACCTACTCCATTTGTCATTTGAATGGCTTATAGATCTATTCCCCTTAAAACTAATAACCCCGTAGAAATGATGCACAGTTGCAAGGATTTAGCATAGCAGGTCAAATGTTTTGTCGCAGCTTTCTGGGTACCAGCACTGAAAATCCAAAGATTGATTTATCTAGTAGTTCACTAAACATTTAGCTGGGCACCAGCACTGAAAATCCAAAGATTAATTTATCTAGCAGTTCACTAAACATTTGTCGATCCCTAGACCAGATTTAGCAGCCAGCCATAAACACACACAAGACGACGAGATATAACCATGATTGCATCTATACAGGCAGATAAAGTACACAAGGGGAGATGGAGGAAGCAAAGAGGGCTGCCTCACATTGTAGTGGATGTTGACCTTGGGTGGATCCACGGCAGAGCACTCGTCGTCGTGGGCAGTGGTGACTGCTGCCGCGGTGGCCTCTTCCTCCTTAGAGCTTGAGCCACCAACACCCTCCCGAGCCCACGCCACCGCCTGCTGGTGCTGGGCCTGCGCCGCCACATCCCGGCACCTGGGGACCATTGCAGCTATCACCTCCCAGGCCCAAGCAGCCACCTTCTGGGCCCGTGCCGCCTCATCCTGAGCTCGGTCACGGCCGCCTCCAGTGCCCGCGCCGCCGTCGTCTTCTGGGACCGGCCATCCACCGCCTGGATCCAAGCCTCCCTCACCGGATCTGCTCGAAAGGAGGGGAGACTGGCCACGAATGGGAGGACCGGAGGCCAAAGGAGGGGACGCCGCGCCGCGCTGGTCGGGGGAGGAGGCGACGAGCCTGAGAGTGGAGGGGGAGGGTGCGGCAGCGGCGGGGGTGGGCGCGGCGGCGGCTGGGGTGGGCGCGGGGGAGCGGGCGTGGCTTGGGGCATGAGGGTTGGGCCGCGCGGGGTTGGGGTGGGCTTTTAGGGCAATTTTTTTTTTTGAAAATCAACTTTGCCGAGTGGCCCCTGGGCCGGCACTCGGCAAAGCCCACTTTACCGAGTGCCCCCCGTGTCACTCGGCAAACTATATATATAGCTAGAGAGAGAACCGAGGGTCCGAGACACATCACCTTGATTTAACCTAGTCCGAGTTCAGCCATCTCACGCATGGAGGGGGTAGCCAAGAGATCCGATTCCATGAAACAGCTGGAAGCTACAGAAGTTGGCCACATCAGGATCGACGGATCACGATTATGCGGCACTAAAATCAGTCGTTCTGTTCACTTGAGTTATAAGCTGTATTTTTTCAGTCAATGAACAATATTTTTTTCTCACAACAAATCAGCCAACATTACTATCAGTCATGGTTTATCAGCCAAGCGAACAGGGCGAGTTACTCCCTCTATTCTAAGTTACATGTTGTTTTGACTTTTGTGTATACATAATTTTTTCCATGCACTTTGATATATATACACTATATATATCAGATACATGTAAACAACAATATATTTGAAAATATCAAAACATCTTATAATTTGGAATACGAAGAAAGTAATTTCTTTGTGTGTGTGTAGAGTCTGAGCATTGTGTGTAGTTGCATGAAACGCGTGTAAAGTTATACTGTGCGTCGCAACCAGGACGGATGAGCAAATAAAACTGCAGTTGCAATCAAAGCTTTCTAGGACAATATAATCCCATGTACTAGATATTGATAGTATCACACTATATCATATAAAGCTTTGCAAAATTCCACTTTATTTAGAAGTGGTGACTGAGCAAGCTCTATTTTCACAAAACATGCATAAAGCTGTATTATGCTTCACAGCCAGGATGGGTAATAAGCAACAGAACAAAGCTGCAGTTGCATAAAATGTGTACTTCGCGTCACGGCAGGATGGGTGAGCAACAGGACAAAACTGTAGTTGCGCATGCGCACTCAAACAAAGCTTTCCAAGGAAAACTGCAGTTACAAAACTGCAGTTGCACAATCAAACAACGCTTTCCAGGATGGATGAGCAACAGAACAAAACTGCAGTTACACTATCAAACAAAAGCTTAATATCACAGTTGGCATGGGTGAGCAACAGAACAAAACTGCTGTTGCAAAATTAACAAAGCTTTACAGGACAATCCCGTACGCTAGTGGTAGATCGCATCTCAGTTCAGAAGAGGTGAGAGTGTGCAAGGTGTTGCGTAAAACGCGCACAAATTTGTATTGCGCGTCACATCCTAGACAGGTGAACAACAGAACAAAACTGCAGTGGCACAATTAAACAAAAACTGTTCAGGACAATCCCACACAGTAGTGACAGATAGTATCACACTAGCTATCACAGAAATAAGCTTCACATAGTTCTATTCATTTAGAAGAGGTGAGTGAGCAAGCAAGTAATAATGAAGTAAACCAAACAAAAGTGAGCCATTTGCACAGGCCAGCAGATCGCCATGGAGGTGAAGGTGATGAGCTCTAGGCTTGTCAAGCCGTCCTATCCACCAGGTGTGCCACAACCAGACACCACCGAGCATGTGCCTTGTTCGGTGTTCGACAAGATCACATACCACATACAGATGGCCATCATCTACGCGTTCTCACCGCCGGTGCCCTCCATCGCCGACATTGAGCATGGCCTTGCCGCCGTGCTGGGTGTGTACCGGGCGTTCGCTGGCCAGGTCCGTCCGGGCCCGGATGGCGAGCTCGGTGTGCTGCTCAACGACCATGGCGCGCGACTCATCGAGGCGTCCGTGGACGCCCACCTCGCTTATGTTGCACTAGCGAAGCCATCGCCTGACGTGCAGCAGCTGCACCCAGCTGGGTTGGAGGCCGAGATCGAGGAGGTGGTGCAGGTGCCACTGGCAGAGAACAGATCTTTGATCCTCGATCAAAATAGACTCTAGTTTCGAATTTATTTGCGCCCGAGACTAGAGATATCTTTAGTCCCTGTTGGTGGCTTCAACTGGGACTAAAGGTCCCTACTCAACGGCTACTGCGCCAGATAGAGGTGGCAGGGACCTTTAGTCCCGTTTGAAGCCACCAACCGGAACTAAAGGTAGACTTTTACTCCCGGGCCGTGGCTGCGTCCAGGGTTGGAAAGTTACATTTAGTCTCGGTTGAAACCACCAACCGGGACTAAAGGTCCCCCTTTATATCCCAGCCGTCTCCTTCTTCCTCCCCGAGCCCGAGCTCAGCACATTTTGAAGCTCACTGCACTAGTGTTCTTGCTTCTTCCCTTCATTGTTCCTCCATCCATTATTCGATTCCTCCGTCGATTCCTCCGTCGATTCTTCAGTTGTAAAGGTTACCAATCTTATACTCTCATTTTTCACCATTGTCTTATCTCATTTTGTTCACTATATATATATGGTTCTTTATTGTGGTTTTTTTTTCATTTGTAAGCAATTTGAGCTCAAAATCACTTCAAGCTTGCATATTTACATGAAAGAAGGTTAAAGTAGCTAGTTGAACTTGTGGACCGTGTTCATCTCGGCGAGCATGTTCTCTGCCGAGCGGTAACTGACGTCAAGGAGGAGCTTTGATTCTACGAGGGAGAGCGGCAACGGTCGTGGAAGACCATGTTCCCTTCCTCGTAGAATCGGAGCTCTTCCGTGGCCAAGTACTGTGCCGTCCGGTGGAGAAATGCTCGCCGATATGATCACGTAAGCAAGGTTAACTAGTACGGATGGTTATTTATTCACATGTCCCGATATCATCGCAGTAGTCTGTCAATCACCGTACCCAAACGTAGTATATATATAAATATAAACGATAATCGATTGTTATGTGTGTACACTCCCATTCTTCTGTTAATTTACGAAAATATCATATGGATTACTTACCTGTCGCAGTAAAAGACGAGAACACAATGACCATGGCCACGGCAAGCAGAGTAGTGTTAAACGCTCTGGAAACCTTTAAACTTCAAGCTTGCATATTTACATGAAGGAAGGTTAAAGTAGCTATTAAAAACTAGTATTCACCGTTCATTTGTAGCATGCATAGCACACTTCATTGTTTAGAGATATAGAGAATTTTAGAGTTTTTTCATTTTATTTGTTTATAAAATAAGAAATTTATAGTGTATTAAAAATGAGTATAGGGATTAGTGCCTCCGACTGGTATGACAGATGCAATGCAAGGCCGTGCAATAGGAAGCAAATCCGTTCTCATTTGACGATACGCCCGAACAGCCGGGCCTGACAGATTTGGTGGTTGAATGGGTCCATCGGCCATCGCCGTGCGACTGTACGACAAAGAACGGCATCGATCGACCATAGTATTTTATTGTCCGGAGTTCGGTCCGGGGTGCAATGCAACGCAATGACAATTGACAATGCGTTGCTAGGTCAAAATATGGTCATTTCTATGGACTCCGCGACTAAACATTTTATTTTAACTTTTTATGAAATAAAAAACTTAGAAAATAGTTAGAAAATTATAGAAAATTCGTACTAGTTGAACTTGCGGACCGTGTTCAGCTCGGCGAGCATGTTCTCTGCCGAACGGTAACGGACATCAAGGAGGAGCTTTGATTCTACGAGGGAGAGCGGCAACGGTCGTGGAAGACCGTTTTCCCTTCCTGCCGCAGTAAAAGACGAGAACACAATGACCATTAAAAATATCATTGTTTAGAGATATAGATAATTTTATAGTTTCTTAATTTTATTTGTTTATAAAATGAGAAATTTATAGTGTATTAAAAATGAGTATAGAGAGTAGATGGCAACTGCTTCCGGGTCCTCGGCCTCTCATGGGTTTCCAAAGCGACTTAGGCCGGGCCTCCCTCTCATTCCATGCGGCAAGTGTCGTGATGAGACGAAGATTGTGATGGAGTACCGAGTGAAGAAGGAGGATCCCAACAAGGATCGTATCTTCTACAAGTGTCCAGATCGCAATGTGAGTTATTTTATCATATTTAATGATTATGGTTAGTTTATACCTATTTTTATGATGGTTGTGATTAAAGTTCTAATTTTTTATTTTAATTTCAGTGGGATGGCAGTGGACGATGTTCAGGCTTCTACTGGGAGGAAGAGTATGTTGAACTCGTGCAAAAATATCTTGCACAACAGGCAGATACGACGGCTAATGAGGCAGTGATTCGGCCGAAGAAGCCCAAAGATGTTGCACAATCAGGGGATCTGTCTGTTTTAGTTGAGATTGGTCGCGAAATCCTTGTGCTCCTGAAATGTATTTTAGCTTTAGTTCTTTTAGTGGCAGTTGGGATTGTCTACATTGTAGCGATGCTTTCATAAATTTGTACCTTTTGTGGTGGCACGTATGTTGTATAAATAATTAATTATGATCTAGATTTTAATATGGTATTTATGTCATGTAATGCAGATGAGCCGGCATTGGATGTACAATGCTGATCGCCGATCCCAAGAGTTCATTGACGGTGTGCATTCTTTGTTACGTGCGGCCGAGGCAAACAAACGCGACGGTTTCATGTGCTGCCCATGTGCCATATGTAAGAATACGGTGGAATATCCTTGCTTAAGGACTTTTCATTCACACTTGTTCAAGTCGGGTTTCATGCCAAACTATATTTGTTAGACGAAGCACGGAGAAACCGGCGTTGTAATGGAAGAAGGTGAAGAAGAACAATGGGACGACAATGATATTATTCCCGATGATACGTGCTTCAATGATACTGCAATGGGAGAAGCTGAAGAAGAGGTAGCCGCAGAAGATGTGCCTGCTGATGATCTTTGTCAGGTCATTCGTGACGCACAAAGAGAATGTGAAAGTGAAAAGGAGAAGATCAAGTTCGAGCTGATGCTAGAAGATCACAAGAAATTGTTGTACCCAACTTGTGATGCAGGGCAAAAAAAGTTGGGAACCACACTAGAATTGTTGCAATGGAAGGCAAAGAATGGTGTATCTGACAAGGGATTTGGAGAGTTACTAAAAATCCAAAAGATGATGCTTCCGAAGGACAATGAATTGCCCGCCACTACCTACGATGCAAAACAAGTTGTCTGTCCTGTGGGGCTAGAAATCGAGAAGATACATGCATGTCCTAATGACTGCATCCTGTACCGTGGCAAATAGTACAAAAATTGGATGCATGCCCGCTATGCCATGCATCGCGGTATAAGATCAGGCGAGATGACCCTGGTGATGTTGAGGGCGAACGTCCGCGGAATAAAATCCCTGCCAAGGTTATGTGGTATGCTCCTATAATACCACGCTTGAAACGTCTGTTCAGAAACAAAAAACATGCAAAATTGTTGCGATGGCACAAAGAAGACCGTAAGGTAGACAATATGTTGAGACACCCTGCTGATGGGTCCTAGTGGAGAGCAATCGACAGAGAATTCCCGGAGTTTGCAAATGACGCAAGAAACTTAAGGTTTGCTTTAAGTACAGATGGTATCAATCCTTTTGGAGAGCAGAACAGTAGTCATGGGAATATAATCCAAGAAGGATATGCTACCATCTCGGTAGATAAAGCTGAAAAAGGTTTTAGTGATTTGTCTCTTGACATTCCTAGAGGTGATGGCGAGAAGACTCTAGGAGAAGCAGAGAAGACATTCATTCTATGGCGCAAGCGCTACATCATCATTCCCGGGATGTCGCCTCCACCTCCTCCTGAACTACCTCACCATAGGTGCGGATGAAAACACTACATCATTACTTTATATTGACTTAAATAATTAACAATCTGCTCATAATAATATGTCATTCCTTTTTTTGTAGCAGATCCTCCCCCAACCTAAATCCAATTGTTCAATCGCCAGATCATCATAGTGCTCTGTACGATGACAATGTGTTGGAAGGCGAGGCTGCATCCACGCCATCTCCAAGGAGGTCTCCAACGCCGCTGCCACCACCTCCAAGGAGGTCTCCAACGCCTCCCCCGCCCCCGCCTACCAAGAAGCCAAGTACTAGCAAGAGGCCAGCCCCGCAAATGAAGAACCAGTCCCCGTCGGCAAAGAAAGCCACCGTGAAACCAAAGGCTATTCCCAAAATAATATCTGAAGAGAAGGAAGAAGTAACTGATGCATATAAAAAAGATATGTCCAGATTTTATGACAAACTTAAAAAGGATCAAGAAGCAAGGAGAAACCCGGAGAAACCGTACTTCTTTGTAGCTCCAGATATTCTAAGATAAAAGGTGGCTTCTTACCAGCAACAACAACGGGAATCTCGTAAGCCGTCCAAATCAATGTTAACGGACTATGACCGCACTCTCACCAAGTCAATTGAGGCGGCACAGAAAAAGAAGCGGGCAGGGAAAGGAGTTGCACAACTCGGACAACAATCGCACCAATCAGTCCCCCGGCTAGTTGTTGGTAATGAATATGGTTCGAATTTAGGATTAATGCATCAGGCAAACATACCTCTTGATGTCGATTTGGATCACCTTGGTGAATTTATTGAAGTGACTGGTCTCGACCTTTACCAGATGTTTGGTGATGGAAACATTGTGAGTGCGGCGGAGGTTGATATTTGGAAGAAAAAATTTGTACTAGGCCAGAGTCTATACAACCCTCAAGCCTTATGTGATCTGGGGACGCAAATGTACCTGCTAAACAAGTGGTACATGCAGGCGTCTACCGGTGGAGACTTCTGCGTTGGTGTCAGAATTAGAGACGGACATTGGTTCCGTGGTGATGATGTTATGTATGTTGATTTTGCAGAATTTCATCAACTATGCCACCTGACCTCTCTGGACAAAGTTATCATTAGCTGCTATTGCCTGTAAGTAATAATTCTTTCGATCTATTATTAAACTCATCATATGTGTGTATATGCATATAAATTATCCTAACAAGTACTATATATATGCAGATTTACAATGACAGAGCTCAGAAAGGAAGGCTGCAATGAAATTGGTTTTGTTGATCCCCATATAGTATTCAAAGACCTAGTTACTCCAAAGCCTAATTGGAAGTCTGAGTCAGAGAGTAACCTCATGAACTTCTTAGTGAACCAACGCCACAAGAAGGATATACTCTTTCCGTACAACTTCAAGTGAGTGTTAATAATGTCGATCATCCTTAATGGCTCATATGTTGATTATAGTTAATTAATGAGTGTTATGCGTTATATCCTATAAACACATGCAGCAATCACTAGATATTGATGGACATCAATCTGGTGAAAAGTCACTTGATAATCTATGACTCGATGTGAAAACCACAACAAGACTACCAAGATATGATAGATATTATCCAGAGGTAATTTCGGTATCTCTAGCAACTATATATACACACAAACATGATGATTAACTATATCTGATGACGTGGCAAATTTTTTATTGGGCAGTGTTTGGAAAACCTTTATTGAGAAGCAACACATGGAAAAATGCAAAGCATCACTGAATGTAATCCCTTTGAAAGTAAGTCCCCTAAATCACATCATCTTTATTAATTAAACATATAGCTTTCACCGGATCACCAGATTGGATGACAAATCTTTTTCTCGTAAAGTGGTGTCTAAGGCAGAAACAGGGGAACAACTACTGTGGTTACTATGTTTGCAAGTTTATCAAGGTGGTCTTCCAAAGAACTCCTACAGAGAGACTCAAAGTACGTTAAAAATACACTATATATTCATTTAATTATTATTATTGATTGTGTTACTATGTCTTTATATATATATATATATGTACATATATTAATTTATTTTCCTTTAATTCAAACCTGTAGGCTCGATGGTTGGAGGAAAAGGTCATACGGCAAGACCAAATCAAAGCAATTCAAGAGTCTATAGCCGGATTTTTTAATGACCAGGTCATCGATTCCAAATTCGAGTTCTACTTCGACCCAGCACTGCCATGGAAGCCAAGCTGGAGGATGAGAGAAAACTTGTTATATCACAACAACTATAATGCAATCTTTTGTAATATATGCACATGAAATAATATAATGTAAAATACACATATGCATGCATGCATGTAAATATATATATGATGCATGCATGCATATACATATATATATATATATATATTTCTATGCTTGAATTGTGTGATTTAATACGTTCATTGTGCTTGAACCGAAACATACTATACGCGCGTATAAATGTATAATTAGCAACGTACAATACGACTTCGAAAACCTATTTTGAAAAGAAAACAAAAAAATGAAAAGAAAAGAAAAAAGAAAAAAAAACTTTTAGTCCCGGTTCGTATTACCAACCGGAACTAAAGGGTGCTGGCCATCGTGGCATGTCAGGAGGCACCTTTAGTCCCTGTTGGTGTTACCCACCGGGACTAAAGGTCCCCCTTTAGTCTCGGTTCCTGACCCAGGACTAAAGGACCCCCTTTAGTTCTGGATGCTTGCTCCCGGGTGGGAAACCGGGACTAGAGGGTGTTCCCCACCGGGAGTAAAGCTCTGTTCTCTACCAGTGTGCAGCTCACGAGGTTCACATGTGGCTCGCTCATCGTGGGGTTCACCGCAAACCACGCCGTCGCTGACGGTCGTGCCACCAGCAACTTCCTCGTCGCATGGGGTCGCACCGTGCGCGGGGTCCCGATCGGCCCTACACCACCACCCGAGGCACTTCCCGCTCCGAGACACACCGTGCTTTGAGTTCGAGCACTGCGGTGTGGAGTTCTACCGCCCGACGACGCCGACATCATCCCTCCTCACGGCACACGGTGTTATAGTAAGCCCAGGGTACATCTTCTATTTTAGGAAGTAGATTAGTGCACGGCACGGCCCAGGGCGTTGGGATGGCAGCGGCTGATCACAAGCGTGCCATGATTGATTCAGTCAATTTGTATCCATATGTACTGCATGTACTTTGCTTAAATAGAGATAGCAATCAACAAGAAACGCTGCCACTTTGTAGCACCAATACTCTCATATCTTCCACTGTGTGTTCGTGTGTGTTCATCAATCTCTCGTCGAGTTTGGTTTTCTGTCAATTGGTACCAGAGCCTGGTTCCGTCGTCGCCATGTCGCAGTCGCCATCCAAGAAGCTGCTGATGGGTGATGGCTCCGGCGAGAAGAAGCCACAGCCGTCGCGTTCGCCGCCACGTCGCCGTGGCAGCTCTCACAATCGCCACTCGCGCACCCGGGATGCCAGCTCGCGCGTTGTCAAGCGAATCATCGAGCAGCCGTCCGTGAACGTCGCGTGGCCAATGCTAACCTGGACTAACTATCCGAAATGGGCGCTCGTCATGGTGGTGAACTTCCAGACTCTTCGTGTCTGGAACGTCGTCCGCAATGGCATCGCCGACGACCCCGACGACGAAGACTACCACGACGATCGGCAGGCGATGGCTGGTCTCCTACGCTCAGTGCCCTCTGAGCTATGGAGTATGCTCGCCACGAAGAGGACAGCAAAGCAGGCCTGGGATGCGGTCATGAACCTTCGGATCGGCGACGAACGCGCGCGCGACGCTTGCGCGCAGCAGCTCCGCCGTGAATTTGGTGTTCTCTCCTTCAAGGAAGGGGAGATCGTCAACGAGTTCGGCGTCTGCATCACCACGCTCGCCACCAACCTTCGCTCCCTCGGCGACAACATCTCCGACGCAGAGGTAGTGAAGAAATTGCTGCAGGTGGTCCCGGACAGGCTGAGCCAGGCCACCGTCTCCCTTGAGATGTTCCTTGACCTGAACAAGGTCACCATCGAAGAGGTGATCGGGCGGCTGCGTGTGTTCGAGGAATGGGCCAAGCCCAAGGAGGTCACGGACGCCATGGGGCGTCTGATGCTCTGCGAGGAGGACTGGGAGGCCCGCCGCAAGGAACGCCGTGAGCAGGAGAACTCCGGTGGCAGCTCAGGCTCCAACAACCGCGGGAAGCGCCATGGGCGTGGACGCGGACGCGGACGCGGCGGCGCAGGATCCTTGTCATGCAACGGCCACGATGGCCAAAACGCGGGTGCCGAGAACACTGGTGGCGGTAAGCCACCGCCCGGTGATCGCTGCCTGAACTGCGGCAAAACTGGCCACTGGGCCAAGGACAGCCGTGGGAAGAAGAAGAAAGGTGCCGCTCATGTAGCTGAGGCCGAGGAAGAAGAACAGGCGCTGATGTACATCGCTGCGGAAACTGAGGTAACCGCACCGCCTAGGCCGTCGTAGCACGCCGTTGTTCCGCAGGCTCCGGTCCACCTCGACGAACGCAAGGTCCTCCTTCACCTCCACAGCGAGGAAGCAAAGGAGGCCGTGGGGCCTCGCCGCTGGGTGCTAGACACCGGCGCGACGAACCACATGACAGGCTCACGGGACGTCTTCGCCGAGCTGAACACCAGCGTCACCGGAACCGTCAAGTTCGGTGATGGCTCGGTGGTCGACATCGAGCGAAAAGGCACCGTCCTCTTCGCCTGCAAGTCTGGTGAACATCGTCGCCTCGACTGTGTCTACTTCATCCCGCGCCTCACCACCAACATCGTCAGCCTCGAGCAGATGGATGAGGACGGCTTCAAGGTCGACATCGAGTCCGGCATACTACGCCTCTACGACCTGCAGCGCCATCTGCTTGCCAAGGTGCATCGCTCGCCAAGCAGACTCTACTTCCTCGACATGAACATCGCCGCCCTGGTGTGCCTCACCGCGCGTGTCGGCGATGTCGCTTGGCGCTGGCATGAGCGGTACGGACACCTAAACTTCCAGGTGCTGCGCAAGCTCAGGCGTTGTGACATGGTGAAAGGACTACCGGCTTTTGACCACGTCGAGCAGGTCTGCGAGGACTGCGTCCTGGCGAAACAGAAAAGGACGCCATTCCCGCAGGCTACCAAGTACCGGGCTCAGGAGGAGCTCGACCTGGTCCACGGTGACCTCTGTGGACCGATCTCGCCACCTACGCCGGTAGGGAACGCCTATTTCTTGCTGTTGGTCGATGACATGATCTGCTTCATGTGGCTCACGCTCCTGCGCTCAAAGGCGGATGCACAAGCGGTGATCATGACATTCCAGGCGCGCGTCGAACGTGAAACCGGCAAGAAACTGAAGGTGCTCCGCACCGATAATGGTGGTGAGTTCACCTCAGTGGAATTTGGTGAGTACTATGCAGGAGAAGGCATCCAGCGTCACCACTTGGCTCGCTACTCGCCACAGCAAAATGGCGTTGTGGAACGCCGAAACCAGATGATAGTGGCGACGGCGAGAAGTATCCTGCGTGCACGGGGTTTGCCAGGCTACTTCTGGGGCGAGGCAGTGCACACCGCCGTGTTCCTGCTCAATAGGGCGCCCACGAGCGCGCTTGATGGGATGACCCCGTACCAGGCCTAGTGCGGGAAGAAGCCGCCCGTGCACTTCCTCAAGGTGTTCGGGTGCGTCGCCTACATCAAGCGCCTCCGTCGCATCTCAGCAAGCTCGACGATCGTGGGCAAAAGGTCGTCTTCATTGGCTACGAGGGCAGATCGAAGGCGTACCGCTTCTACGACCCCACCACAAAGCGCGTCCACGTCTCTCGCGATGCCGTCTTTGACGAGAACGTGCGCTGGGATTGGGGAGCTGCCTCAGACACCGTCAACAAGTACCCTTTCACCGTGGAGGACGACTACAAGCTACGACGTCAACGTGTCGAGGCACCAGCCCAAGGGTCGACATCTCCTGAGCCGTCCTCACTGGCCTCGCCGCCTGCCTCACCGAGCTCACCGCCACCGACGGCCGGGACGCAGGTCGAGTTCACGACGCCACTCAGCGCCGATCCAAATTTGGACGCTGATGACAATGAAGAGGAGGAGCACCGGTACCGGACGCTGGACAACATCCTTGGTACGGATGCAGTACCCGGGCTGGCACACCGCAACGCCGTGGAAGCCGAGCTTCACGCCGTGAGTGTGGAGGAGCCCAGAACAATAAAGGAGGCCGACAACGATCCCAACTGGGTTGCTGCGATGGAGGAGGAGATGAAGTCGGTGAAAATGAAACATGGTCGCTGGTCGAGCTTCCGCGCAGACACCGAGCCATTGGCTTGAAGTGGGTGTACAAAGTCAAGCGTGACGAGAACGGCAGCATCGTTAAGTACAAGGCTCACCTCATCGCCAAAGGCTACGTACAGCGTCCCGGCGTCGACTTTGAGGAGGTTTTCGCCCCGGTTGCTCGGCTGGAGTCGGTGCGGCTGCTGCTCGCCATCGCAGGGCACTACGGCTGGGGCGTCCATCACATGGACGTCAAATCGGCGTTCTTGAATGGGGAGCTCTAGGAGGAAGTATACGTCCAACAGCCACCTGGGTTCATCGACGGCAAGCACAAACACAAGGTGCTTCAACTCCACAAGGCGCTGTACGGACTCCGTCAGGCTCCACGGGCTTGGAACCAAAAGCTTGACGCCTCGCTGATGGGACTCGGCTTCACCCGCTGCGCCAATGAACATGGGATGTACACCCATGGAAAGGGAGCAGCGCGCCTCATCATAGGCATGTACGTTGATGATCTAATCATCACTGGAGGTGATGCAGGTGCAGTAAACAAGTTCAAGGCACAGATGATGAACACGTTCCGCATGAGTGACCTTGGTCTCTTGTCCTACTACCTTGGACTGGAGGTCACACAAGGTCCCGATGGCATCACTCTCCGGCAAGGTGCCTATGCCACCAAAATCCTTGAGAAGGCGGGGCTGGCTGGGTGCAATCCAAGTGCCACGCCCATGGAGATGAAGCTGAAGCTGCTGAAGGATGGCTCAACGCCGAGCGTGGACGCCACTGAGTACTGTAGCTTGATCGGCAGTCTGAGGTATTTGTGCAACTCTAGGCCAGACTTGGCATATACTGTGGGGTACCTCAGCCTGTTCATGGAGGCGCCACGGCAAGAGCATCTTGGAGCTGTGAAACGAGTCCTCCGCTACGTAGCGGAGACGGTGCACTGGGGTGTGCACTATCATCCGGGAGGAAAGAAGGGAGTTGCACCAAGATTGCTAGGCTACTCCGACAGCGACTTGGTAGGTGATGTCAATGATCGGAAAAGCACCAGTGGCCTCATTTTCTTCCTTGCCGGCGGGCCGGTTGCATGGCAATCGGCAAAGCAAAAGGTGGTCGCGCTGTCCTCCTGCGAGGCAGAGTATATCGCGGCTGCTGGAGCTGCGTGTGAGGACATTTGGCTGGCACGGTTGCTGGCTGAACTCATCGGAGGAGCAGTCCTCGCGCCCAAGCTCAAGGTGGACAACAAGTCCGCCATCGCGCTGATGAAGAACCCTGTGCACCATGACCGGAGCAAGCACATAGACGTGAAGTTCCATTTCATCCGGGAATGCTACGACAGGAAGCTGATCGACGTCGAGTTCGTCGGCACTGAGCTGCAGCTGAGCGACATCCTCACGAAGGCGCTTGGTCGTAGCCGGTTCCAGGAACTCCGTAGTGGGATCGGCATGAAGCATCTTGTGTAAATATACTCCAGGGCTTAGGAGGAGATTGTTATAGTAAGCCCAGGGTACATCTTCTATTTTAGGAAGTAGATTAGTGCACGGCATGGCCCAGGGCGTTGGGATGGCAGCGGCTGATCACGAGCGTGCCGTGATTGATTCAGTCAATTTGTATCCATATATACTGCATGTACTTTGCTTAAATAGAGATAGCAATCAACAAGAAACGCTGCCACTTTGCAGCACCAATACTCTCGTATCTTCCACTGTGTGTTCACGTG